TTTTTAATGTAAGCAAATATATGAATATCAACATATATGAGATAACACAGAGAAGGAATTAGTATTTCTGAATATTTGCTAAAAAACTTAACACACATTTATTTACTGTATATTTTTTTACTGAAAAGCAGTGCTGTGATATCAATAAGTTTTAAAAATATATTAAAAGCAAGCAAGATCAAGTTAGTATTTATAATGACATAGGGCACATATGAATAAATGGTGACCTGTTTACCACAGAAGATTTATCATTTCCAGCAGGCATAGTTTGTGTTAAGTTTGAGAAGGTAAATATGTTTTGTATTGGTGGACTGGAAAGTAATGAAGATGCTGATTATTTATGTAAGCATTGGTACATAGGCTAATGCTTTTCTGCCAGGGGTAGTTTCAGTAATATAGTTGAAAAAGGTACTTCCCATGGCATTATGATTAAATTTATAGTCCTTCCAATAGATCTGAGAGATTTTAATCAGTTGATTTTCACTTATGTGGTAATGTATATGCAGTGGCTAGTTATTATTTATACAAACTGAAAAGAAACTGTTATAGTGTACATTTATGTATGACTGTATTAAATGGAAGATACATTTGCTACTTCTCAGCAACTAATAAAGACCGCAAAAACAGAACTGGTCAAGCAAACACTACAAAGTAAGTTTTGCTGATAATAGCATGCTTTGATGTGTGATTGAGTTCATACCCACTTTGGCTTGAGTTTTTTTTCATCAGACTGGAAAAAAGAGAAAACTATTTACTATTTATTTTGAAAAGCCCAAAGAAGTTTAATAGCATTCCAGGACTTGATCTAATTTTTTTCTGTTGTGTACAAGACCACTTTTTCATGTATTGCATACTTTATTTTAGCTTTTATTGTCAAGTGTTGTTCATGCTTTTCATTGTAAGTGCATCCTTTCCAACTTAATGCTTGAAGCTCACTATTATTTTCTGCCTTAAAGAATCTGGAAAAAGTAAGATTCCTGTTGCTTAATATTATTGTATTTAATGTATTGCATGATGCAACTTAGCAGAGATACCTTATCATTTGCCTGATATTATTCATACAAATTGCACATGCTTTTCTCTGGGACATGAATATGTATACAAAACAACTATATGAATGAAGATTCTGCAATATGATAAACTATATTTTCTTTTCTTTTCCATACTAAATTATGTTTTTACCATGTAGCCAACACAGGTATTGTTATTTATAATATATGCTGTGAACATTTTAATGGCAATACAAAAGTTGCAGTGTCTCTTTAGCCTACTATTACCAATTGCATCTGTTACTATTTAGCATATTTACAAATTTGAAATCTCCTTTTCAGAGTGTTTGGCCGCTCGTAAAGAAGCTTGATAGGAAATTCCAGTAAGGACGTACTCCACAGGCACTCCCCTGCTTGCCTGGTTTTGCAACATCAAGCAGTTTAAGATTTTCCTTTGGGCTTCCAATATCACTGAACTTTTGTGTAAATATGTATGGCACTGTTTAACTAAAAAAATTGTTTCATTTTTTTCAGGAATTATTAGTATGGGTGACATCTATGCAGTTTTATATAGATATGAAATAAAATATTAGTTTTTCGTTGTTACAAACCTATGACTTTCAAAATGTAAATATTGTGTGATTTCTCTTTTTGTCAATTTTCAAATTTGTACGTGGAAGGGAATATCATTCTATTGTTTCATGTCACCATAATGGGAGTATAAAAGAAAATATATAAATTACATCCAAGTCTTCAGAAAGCAATAAAACTATGGCATTAGATCTGAATGGAGATTTGATTTTTCTCTTTATCAGTGTTCATCTGGTACAGAGTATGTGAGAGGGTTGTTGATTGTTACTTGAACCAGAAGTTTTTTGCTTTGGTCCATGAAATTATTTTCAAATGAAAAAATATTTTGAAGAAACTTTGTATGACAACTAAATGTGAGTATAGTAGTTATATATATATTTCTCTTGCATGTTCATTCAAATTCACTTTGTAATCTCTTCATTGGACTTGCAGTATGTAGCCAGTGCCAAAAATTAAGCAAGTTGAATATGCAAGCCTCTGTTGCTTGTGTATCACTTTGTGAGAGATATTATGCAGTCCTTTCTCACAGTTATAATGTTATTTATCCTTATTAGTTCATGATTTCTACAATTCTTCTCTTTTTAGTATCAAAATGTGGTATCTTACAAAACAGTTGTATGTTGTTACTTGTACTTTAAAGTTATATTTTGTTACACTTTTTCTTTGGTGTATTTCATTGTTTCTTACGTAGTGTAGGTCATTTTGAGGAGGCAGTACAATTGGTATGAAAAAAGGCACATTATTTTTAAAAAATCAAGTTAGGGGACTACTCATGTTGATGATATTTGATTTCCATTTTTAACTTTGTATAATTGTATATGTTTGTGTTAAGCTGTTATCTGAGGAATAAGTGTTTTAATGTATGCCAAATGTACTGTTCTCTGTAAGTATGGAGAATCTGTTCCATCTGTTTCAGTTAATTTACTAAAGGTTTGTGATTATTCAGGACCTAAAGAAATAATGTGTGCAAATGCTAATTTTGAAACTATTACATTTTTTATTAACTTCAAGAAATAGACCTTTCCCTTCTGTTTTTGTTTTGTTTTGAGTTCACTTTTGGCCAGAGGTAAAATAACTGCATTTTGCATAAAACTTTTATTTTCTGTAACATTCCCTTTGGTTTTCTACTTGTTTAACTATCTAGTATTGTTATGTACTTACAATTGTAAGGGGTATTTTCTTGCATTTCCTTTCATTATAATGCTTTATTGTATATTGTGTATTACAAAGCTTTACAAGTCCATAACTATGTTGGAGTCTCAGATGGATTGAGACTCCTAGTTTTGTGACAAAGTTGTGATAAACATGGCCTTTTTTAATAGTAGCTGAAATATGCAATGAATGATTGTAAAGGTATTGAATGAATGGTTCAGCTGTAAATAATATGTCTTGTAAGGGAGTAGATATGGTAATATTAACTACAAAGACTGCAATGTAGACACTTGTAAGCATAATAGGTCTAAACACTTAAACTGAATTCTTGAACAGTTACACAAGGTGCTTGTATGCTTTATAAAAGAGTGACTGAGCAAGAGGTCTCAGGTTTTGCATAGATTTTCATAGGGGTCAAGTTATTGGGTTTCAGTGCTAAGAAAATACTTGCAAAGAAGTTATGACTATTGCAAAGAAGTTATGACTATTTCCTGTTTCTGTAAAAATATCAAAAGATACATTTGTTTGATTTTATTAAAAATATTTTGTGCTGGTTGTGACATGTGAAGGGCAAAGGTGTCTTTTTGTCTGTACTTTAGACAGTATTAAATCTAATATCAGCAATGTGTAAGTACTTAATTGAAGTACCTCTTATAATAGACTGTCATGTGAATCTCGTGAGACTAGTTAGAATTAAGAAAACTGGGCAAAATGTTTTATATTTACACTCTGGGCATATTATTTTGAGAGGGATCTTGTTGTACTGTTTGATGAAATGTATGAGGTAATGTAAATTTAACATATTTATTGGGAAGATATTTAATAAATTATTATATTTATTAATAGATAAGCAGCTTTAATGAGAATGAATGATAAGGTATTTCCCAAATGCTGTAACTAATCAGTGGTCACATATACCTCCTTTGAGGCCTAGAAGTCTAAAATTGGTATTTATGTAAAATACTAAAATTAATTCAGGAATGATATAACAGGATTATGTCTGCTTGGGAGACATGAAGTGAAAGTAGACATGCAATTATTTTGAGTGTGCAATAAATCTTGCGTTAGATTGTGATGGTGTAAAGCTAGAAGATTAAGTTGCTTTATCAGTTATATTTAGTGCAATTTTTCAAGAGAAAATGCTATTAAATTTATATACTTCCTTTTTTGTATTTTTCTGATAGTTTTGATGGTATGGTTATTATAAATATTGAATGTAAAGAATTGTGAAAATATTTACTATTGGAGTAATAATCATACAGAAAATGTTCTGAATAACTGTCATTAGCAAAGAGTGTATTTGCATATTTGTATAATTATAACTGCCCATAAAAATCTCTGGTATTTGTTGGTGTGGTGAAACTGGAGAGAAATGTCTCTTGCTGTAAGAGATTGTATTAAGAAGTAAAAATTGCAACTATATACTGCAACCATTTTTTTCTCTGATTAGCAAAAACCTTTGATGATGAAATAGAAAAGCACAGTAGAAGGATGGAATGGTTAATTAAAATTAATCTATACTGTAGCTAGTTTAGAATAGGAAATCATTTACATTCAAAGTGCCTTATATGATGGCTAGTGAGTTTATCTTCCATTGTATCTATAAAGAGTATTTTGCATATAGGTCATTCTTGGTTGTAATAGAATATTTAACTGCAGCAAGAAGATATGGATGCATGGATGTATGTATTTACATAGGGGCATATGCATGCACACTTATACTTTTAAAATCTGTAACTTGAACTCGGTCAATATTCATATGGATACCCACGCATACATATACTTCATTTCATTTACATATGTGTATCTTTATGTTTAAATGTCTATAAGGGTGAAAGGATCATTTAATTTTCTTTTTTGATAGGCAAGAGACTGTTTTTGTAATTTAGAAACTGAAAGTTGTTAAGACTTAACAGAATGTCATCCCATGGTTATTTTGATAACTGTGCATAACACATAAATAAATCATACAAATGTATATATTGTACTTATTGGTGATTTAATACCCCTGCAGTATAATGGTTTATAATGTATTTAAAAAGCTGCCATTACTTTTTATTATTTGAAATTTATATACGCATGTAGACGATTAATAGATCTTAGTTTTTCTAAGCCTTTTTTTAAAGTAAATGTATATTACAGTTTGTAAGAGCAGACTATTAACAGAAATGATATAGGTTATATAGATGAGGGGAAAAAAAAATAATCACATGAGAGACGAGAACAGTGGTTCTTAACCTTTTTAGTCACAGGCCTCTTTAAGAATAT